AAAGATCTCCCCCCTCCCCCGGTTACACAACTACATATGGCCATACTTTCTATGTAAACAGACATCTTTTATGGCTGATTCTCATCCAAAAAGGGTATTTGTTTGAAGTTTGATGTGTTTGTTGATCAAGTTGAATTGTATAATTAGACATCAGAATATTATTTCACATTTGCTGTATTATTTATATGAAATGATGATACTTTGATGTGTAGTTTGATTATTTGCTTCCTTCTAGTATTTCTATGGTTATTACAGTTTTACTTTGGGATAAAGAATTTTCGTTTTCGACATTGTGAAATTCTTTCGTTTTGATGCAGAGAAAGACAATGTTATTACCAAGTAAAATCATATTTATTAAAGTTATTGTTCATACACGAGTTGTTGAACACACTACATAGTTTGTAATTTCATTCATAATTCAAGATATATAACAAATTATCTTTTTTCTGTAATATTCTTGTGTAATCGGTAATTATGAAAATAATTTATGGTTGTATAGGGAATACATTTCGTTATGAATTATTCTTAATATATTTCTGAATTATCTTGTCAAAATCAGTTTTTTTTTCAGGTTTTTTTCTCCACAATGCCGAAAACTTATTCTTTATCGTAGTGTTATTTATAGGGTTTTCCACAGCTAATAGGCTCTCCGGTCGACTTATCACATATGCAAAAAGTGCAATGTTGTAGAAGATAAAATTTATTTTATTACAACCTATGATAATTACAACAATGAACGTGCAAAAAATTATAGATATTTCTAGAAACAAATTCTAGACTTTCAATACCCTTCTAAGACAAACAAGTTTATTACAATGAACAATTTAGTAAACATAGTACTCTTTTATAGATATGTTGTCTTCATCGTCTTGTATTCTACTTTTTATACTTTATTACCTCAACTTGGGATGAACTGTCATTATTCATTACGGTGTATTAAAGATATTATTATTATATTATTATTATCTAGGTCATAGTCAGGTCACAGGTCACAGGTCACGAGAAACAATGTAGGTCGTGGCCCGTCATGTTTTGTTTTTCAACTGTTGTATTTTAAAGTTGAGTGCTCTACCATTGAATAAACGTCAGTTTGATACTGGGTTTAAATTTCAGGCATATCCAGCGGGATTTAAATTCACGGTTTTATCATTTAGATATTGTGTTCTATGCTAAATTTTACATATTCACTGGGTTTTAATTTGGGTCATTTTCCAGTCAGCGAAATAAGAAAAATTAAAACTCAGTGAATAATTAACCCTTTTACAGTATTTAATGAACTGAAACTTTCTGACTACGTTACTGTTCCGGGTACAGTATATAGTGGCTATACTCACGAACCAAATTCCCACAGCCACATAATTTAGTATGGTTGTTTCCAGCTGTTCTCGACCGTGGGACTTTTGGGTAACGTACAATGAAATGTTTGTGGTGATATTTCCGCCGAATTTACGTTCATTTCAGCAGTGATTCAGATACTCATCGGACATAGCAATTTGTTGTTATTTTTAAAAAAAAAATTCCAAATTTTGTTCAATCTCTTCAGACAAAGTGCTGAACTGTTTTTTGATAAATTTATTGTTTTTACACCCAAAACATGGCAAATAATTGTGAAATTATGAAGCAGCCATTTTGGACAAAAATGTCCTCTTAAAGCTAATTTTAAGACAACACTGTAAACAAATATCTATGAACATACTGTCTGTAGAGGGCGGTATAACTCAAACTTTTTGGTTAACATGACCTCCAAAAGGTCACACATTTAGATTCTGAAGTTACAAACTGTCAATGAGAATTTCCTACATACCCCATTAATCTACCTGCTAAATATTAATATTTGAGCACGGCAACAGTTGAGACATAATCGCCGTGATAGGACGCCAATGATCCTACAAAATGCCAGGATGTATGACCTTTAGGGTCACGCATATTATTCACTTTCTCGTGGGAGCGTGTTGGCTGCAGACGACAGATTTGATGGGAGGAAATCTCCCATTCTGTGCAACTTTAGAGACCAAGAACTATTTATTCCCACACATTCACACAGAATGTCGCAAGAAGATGCCAAGTGTACACCACCCTCTGGTAGTGGTAGTAGCTTTATAAACGATAAGAGTTTTGATCGCAGTAGTTCACAGGGGTCCGACAGACTTTCACAACCACTCAGTCAAGAAACATTTAATCAACTATGGACTACTTTGGAGGAAATAAGCGACCATGGAAATCTGACACAGATTATGATGCAACCTCTAGATTCCAGTGGTGTGGCGGATTTGGACAGTCGTAAGAACTGTATTGAGATGGAAGTTGATCAACATCAGATTGAACCCAAGAGCAGTCTTGCTGCAGTCTCGTCTTCGCCTAATCACTACTTCTCACCTGATAGTGTTATGTCGAGTAGCAAACCGAGTGATAACAGTGCAGATCCCGGCGAAACTCCTCCAACGTACATACCACCACTTCAACAGAGTATAGCAACTCCAACTGTCCCATCGACCACAGAGTACATGGGAGACTATGGTTTTGAAATATACATGGCCAGTTCTCAAACATTCTCAAAGGCTGCAACATGGACATACTCTGACATAGTGAAAAAGTTGTATGTGAAAATGGCGGTAACTTGCCCAATCAAGTTCAAAACACACACCAGTCCACCTCCAGACAGCATCATCCGAGCCATGCCAGTCTTTAAAAGTCCTGAGTATGTGAAAGAGGTTGTTAAACAATGTCCAAATCATGCTTCAATGAAGGTAAGTGGCTTGGATCACCCATTTCCGTCTCATTTTCTGCGATGTGAGAACATACAAGCAAGGTATACAGAGGACCCTACGACTAGTAGGCAGAGTGTGAGTGTGCCGTATGAAAACCCACAAGTTGGAACTGAGTACATTACCTATCTTTATGCGTTTATGTGTTTCACTTCTTGCGTGGGAGGACTAAATCGTCGCCCAATACAAGTGATCTTTCAGCTGGAGAAGGACAACGTAGTGTTGGGACGTAGAGTACTTGATGTCAGAATATGTGCCTGCCCTGGTAGAGATAGAAAGTCAGACGAAAAAAGATGTCACCCTCCACCAAAACAAATAAAGAGAGGTGCTAGTAAAACTGCTGGGTTTCAGATGTCAGTTGGCTCTAAAAGGCGAAAGGGAGACGACGATGTTTACACATTGATTGTCCGAGGTCGGGAAAATTATGAATTCCTTTTGAAGATGAAAGAAGCACTTGAATTGATGAGTTACATG